GATAGTTGTGTATATAATTTATATAAAATCCTAGAATGGTTTGGGTTGGAAGGTACCTTAAAGACCATCCAGTTCCAACCCCACTATGGGCAGGGACTCATAGATATATAGATATATATAGATATATAGATATATATATGTATGCACTCAAGCACTGCAGTGCTCCTGCAGCCTTGGCAAATGCCTCCTCATTAAAAAGATGCAAGAATCCTGTTTGTAGAGCTGAACCCAAACCTGCACTAGATGCTGTCTAGGAACAGAACAGCTCCCTGCCTGGCTGTTCTCCTGCCAAAGGGGAGGCTCTGCAGCCAAGCAGCCAAATTGGCACCAAAAATGCCTAATGCAGGACAGGACCTCACTCTTCTTGCCCACCAAAAGGCCTGAGTGTGAGAGGCAAACACAGCACATGAATTTGTGAGAATAATGTTGGGTTTGCTCCATTCCTCCTACACACAAGACTAGGGAGGCTCTTCCTAAATTCTGCATGGAGCTGGATCCACACTGCCAGGAGGGGACGGGCAAACTTTGGCAATGGGATAATCCCTCTTCCTAAAAGGACACCAATGAAGCCTCCCTTTATTTCCAAGAGAGAAAAAAATTCGTGGTCCCCATGAGGCTGAGAAAAGAAATAATTTAGATTTCTATCTGGTGGTAGAAGCCAGCAAAGTTCACACTAGAAATAAGAGAAAACTCAGCCACTGGGTAATCAGTGAAGATTACTGAGGATGGGAAGGTTTCTCTAGGTTGCTAAAAGGATTTAAATCAGAAACACATTCACCCAGCCACTGAATACCAATGTAAGGCATAACAATGCTATGCTTGCCAAAAATATTCATAATTACTGTAGTCTAAGTTGCAACAATAAAGTTAAAAGTTTGGTTTCCAGATCAGATTTGAAGTTTGCATAAAGAGCTGGAATAAAACAACACACGACCTACTGCTAAATATTAATCTAAAGTTACTTGTGGGTGTAAATTGTTAAAATATTTCAGATATTTTAAATGTCTTTTTTTTACATATAGTCAGAGGATAAATACCTTTAATATAATAATAAAATAATGCTGTCTGAAATAAAATGTCTATTTTTCACCTATCACTACTTGAAGAAAAGTTTATATTACTAAATTGTATAAGCTCTTGAGGTTAGAAAAACACATGCAATTATATTACAGACCACTTTGCATGTTTTACTATAAGTACCAACTGAAGAGTTCTGCAGTAAAATGATGAAATTTCTTCTATTACCATCTCTGGTTTTGCTCTTCAAATTAAACCTTGAATTTTGTCGTTTGCTTTCTTAAATAAATAATTCACCAGTTTTGTCTTGTTTACATTTTAACTGGAATGTAAACAAGCAGCTATGCTATTCCAAAGACAATAACATTTCCATTTATCTGGAAAAATAAGAGATTTTATGGCACAGTAATGCAAACTTCAATGCCTCATTTAGAGAACAAAAGCATTATTCTGGTAAAATATTGCAGAATTAACGGTGCTTTCTGAGTGTTGATATTACAACATTATTGTTTGCATGAGATATGCTCATGAAATAAAAACACATATCAAATCATGCAACACCTGCAAAACAAGCTGCACACTCACGAGTACCACAATAGCAAACAGTTAATAATCCTCTGGGTTTTCATTTAGAAAGACAGTCTCCATACCACCACACTAAAAAACGCCAAAAAAGCTAATCTGGAGTTGAAATAGGTCTTCCAGTTTAATGGCTTTCTTTATTCAAAGAGGGTTAGACTTGTGTATGTTAGCAAATCAGATCCCCAAAGAAAACACACCCTCAACTTAAAGAATTCCTGAAGTCATGTTTCAAGTCAGAACTCTCTGAACATTTACAAACCTGAACAGGTTCAAGTGTAGAAATCCAGTCACTGATGAATTATCAATGACTTACAAAGGCTTTGGAATTCACGATAGTTGTTGGTTTTTAAATCCCTTTCTAATGGAAACTGCAATTATTAAGTTGAATAGCACTTGCTCTAATATGCTGCTTTACTTTTATTTGTCTTTTTAATTTGGCAGACATCAAGATTCAAGAAAACATCAACTAAAATAGCGAAAAATAACAAATAGGCTTATAACAACCAAATCACAACCATCCTCCTTTTCTGATTGCTTACCAAAGCTAAGAAAAAAGTCCCATGGATTGGCACCCATTGAATTGCTCATGAAAATCCATGACAGTTGTCTCTAGCTTACTCTTTCAGCTCTAAAACTAGTCGTGCACTTTTCCAGTACATTTGATTTGTGCTCATCCAGGAAAGCCACTACACACGTCAAAATTTTTATCACAAAATCATGACTAGGTTTTGAGGAAAGAGAAAAAACATATCCAGTCAGAAATTTCCATGGAGACTCTGTGAACACTGTTTCCAAAGGCATGTGCAACATTAAAGTCTGACATCTCATGCTAAAACTAATTGTACAGGTTGAACAGGTCAGTATTAAAGTATTTAATATAGAAAAACTGACAACTTGATAAAACCTCAGTCATAGGGTATCATTCCAGCCCTGTTGCAGCTAATACTAATCCATTTACCTTTTCTTCCTTTTCTGTATAGATCTTTTATTTGTTCTGCTCGACATGCATCAACTCCAACACTGAATTATCACTATGCTTCGTAGCTGATTTTGAAGTTTTACCCCCTTCAGAAGTTTCCAGACCAGAACTGCACATGAAGAAACGATGCCTTGCCTTCTCCCACCCTTCTGATGTCTCCTGCTTCCAAAGAAAAGATCTAGCTTCCTGTCAAACCTGCCTTTCTAGAGTGAGCCTACTCTTATCTCCATGACTGCAAGCCACTGACCCTCCTCAAGAAGCAGTGAAACATCTGCTCTCCCTCCCACTGTGCCCCTGCCAAAGTGGACTCTCCCTTCTCTAAAGCCTGTCACTTGCTGCAAGTGTTATAAATGGGACTAATTAGGATCCTAGTTGCCCATTAACTCTTTTATTATCCATGTGACATTTATGATGAATGCATTACGTTACTTACAAATGGTCGAGGTGGCACTTACACATAGCAGCATAAACTTTAGAGTCAGGGGAGAAATCATTCAGCACTAAGACAGGCTAACTGCACCATGTAAATCGAAATCCTCTGGGTTCAACACAAGAAATAAAGGAGTCTGGCATTCCTACAAGTGCAGGTGGACCAGTCACTTCTATTTCAGCAGCAAGATCTTTTGCATCACTGTAAATACCTTCAAAGATGGCTTTCTCTCGTGGCCAGTACTGAGCGCTGCACGTTGTTCATATAAAGAGGAAAAATCCCTGCCTTTCTCCAACACAAAAGTCTTCAGCAACAGCAAAGTTGTAATTTCTCGAGATTAGCATTTCCTCACAATTAAGTTGCAAAATTCAGAAGGGAATAACCCCGATGAACATAAATTACACAAAATGGATTTGATTTGCATGTAATAATGGCTTCTTCCGGAATTAATTACAGATATGCTGGAGTATGGCTTAACGTTCTGATTCAGCAATGGATCTGCATGTTTAACTGCTCTTCTATGCTACGGCTAGGAGTAAATTGTCTAGACAATTAATTATCATTCTTCCCTCATTTGCCAAAAAAACCCAGTAAAGCTTTGTACAGAACGAGTTCTTGCATCCCTTCAGAGATCTTTAGAAAATCCATAGGCATAGCTGTCATTCTGTAATGCTCTCCATTAAACTGCACATTATTCACCATCAAATCTATCTGTGAAATCTGCCAGTAGAGACTATTCATACTTCCTAAAAGCCTAACAAGAAATCAACTTCTAAAAATAAAGCCCTGTTTAAAAAGCCCCACCTAACACCAATAATGATAGTTTTGAAAGGATCCTCTCCCAGAGAACACAACAGTACAATTTTTAAGCTGGTCTTTAATGGTTTCTTAAATGCTTGTTTTTAAGTAAACAAACAGTAAGGGAAATGTACTTTGAAGGCAGAGATAAAAAAGCACATCTATTTACTTTAGAAGCCTGCAAAGCCTGTTCTTCCATTGCTCCACTGCGAAGAAGTGGTGCAACTATTTAAATTCAATCACCATGGGATTTCAAGGCACACAACAGAAAAAAAGCTGCATATTATACCCTCTCCCCAATGGAAAGAGCGGCTCTGCAGAAGTAAATGTAGCATCAGCAAATACTTTCCCAGTATAGATATGTGATGGAAGGAGGAAGCATAAAATAAATCAATAGATCTTACAGACAAGACTTGATCAATCCATCCCAAAAGATCTATTTTCAGTACCCAATTGAACAGAATCACAGCATCCCTTTGTTGGTCATGAAAAGGTTGTGGGGGGAGGGAGAGGAAGAAAATCCCAAATCATGATTTTACTGCAAACTGCCCAGTAACACTCAAAAGGAGAACCAACTACTTAAACAAAACCTAAAATACTGATCAAAAATCCTCCAAAATATCAAATGTGGAGGTACTGAGGGTATGGATGGAGTATTTAAATATACCCCTTTTTACAAGGTAGTTTATACTGCAATAACATCCACTTTTCTTTTCTGTATTTACAGTGCACTGTTAGAACAATTCAATTTCAAGCCAAAGTAATTTGCTTTATTCTCCATGGTTACTAAACAGCACCAGACCTCAGATATTTCTCATCGCAGAAAAAGTAATTAATTTTGGTTACTTTCTAAAAATACTCAGAAGAGGACTGATAGCCTACAATAAATATTGAAAGTAATCTATATGTCTTAATTCAAAGAATAAACCATCCCAAACATCTCTGAGAGTGTATTCCCAAAGAACAAAAAGAACAAGCAGAAAATTCCCAGCCAAGCCGACCACTGCTCTCTGTAACTGCTTTCCTAAATGCTGCTCGAGGTTTTCAAACAGATCAAGTGAAGCACATTACTGGTGTTAGTCCACAAAACTTCCTGCTCAGAAGCATCACACACTTTTCCCAAAGCCAGCTCTGCAGTGGGAATGTCCCTGCTTCCCAACAGAGCACTGAGAATCAAATGTCAGGATCTCCTACCTCGATCAAAAAGTCTCCAGTTCTCAGGCCAGCTTGCCATGCTACTCCCCCTTCATCCACAGATTCCAAGTACTGCAAAGCAGGAAAGGCTGGAGTTGGGGTGAATTCTTCAATTGGTGTGTCAGCTTTAAAAATAAATACCACATTAAAAAAAGAAAGTTATGGAGTGCTTGCAAATACCACTTGACTACAGGCCTATTATTGGCCATTCAAATTTCGGGTTAAAAAATGGTGGGTGCTGAAAGTAAGAGCATCCCAGAGGAGATCAGGATGTGGGGACAGAGAGAAATCTTTCTGCAATAGCCATCCACAGGTCTTCAATTCAGACTGGAAAATACATGCTTCTTTACTGACTCAACCCGGATCAAAGCTGGATCCTGAGTATTCAGGATATTCAGTATCAGTTCAAGTAACCCTTTTGTGTGCCTGGCAAAATGCTTGAAACTCTGTCAACATCCACCCAGAAATGAATGATGTACTGTAGCCAGAGGAGAGCTCCTGGCCAAACTGAGGGGGGTGAAGGGTGGGGTGGGAAAGGATGACAAAGATCAAACAGAATTATTCCTTCTCCATGTAGATGTGTGTAATAAAAAAGATACCAAAATAAATCCCTTTTTAGGAAAGGAGGCACAGCTGGCCCTGTAACAACCTTCCCTCTCCCTGTGTCACGTACACAGACAAGCAGGAAAGTCCTTGGGTCTTTCACCTGAGGTGCCCTCCCTGCTCCAGAGAAAATCTGGGGAGAATTGCTGGGCTTACCCAGAGGGAGTAACCTCTGCTCAAAGCACAGATACCTCCCACCAGTGCTCAGGGAAAAGGTTGTGCTGTTGCCTTTCCTATTTACAACTCCAAAAATTTTATTTACCTAAGCCTAGAAAAGCTTTTACAACCCTGAAAATCTATGGTGGCTCTGCTTTAGGGGTGGGGAAAACAGGGAGAGCAGAAACCATGTCCCAAGAACGAAGACATGGAATAATTTTCGTGCTCAAGCAAGGCAAGGGAGAACCCATGTAAAATGAGGGGGAGCGAGAGATGGGACATACCATCATATATATATTTTTTAAATACAAAAGGAGCAAAATGCACTGGAAGTTAAAAAGCAGAGCATTAAATAGAATGCCTTTTTTAACTCTTTAAAAAATTGCCATTATTACAGATTTTAGCCTACAGGAAAGTACCATGCAGTTTAACATATGAACAGCTTTAAAAATGAGCACACTACAGGCCATGCAACATACATGCAGCTTCTGAAGATATAAAAAAAAAAAAGATCATATTTTCATACTAAAACTGCACCAATGTCACCTTGCAGAAGATCCACACCTAATTTAAAGAAAATATCACTCTCTTGTCTATTCCTACTCGCAGACCTATTTAAATAGACTGACATATGAAATAAAGAAGCAGGTTTTATAAGGAAAGCAGGTTTCCCACAGTTAGGTAAACTGCATGCCAAAACAGGTTAATGACAAAATATCACATACAGCAGCACAATAAAAATACAAAACTTTCTCCACCCTCCCCAAACGATTATACACTGCTTCTCCTATGTAAAAATGCAAACTGCTTCAGACAGAAGCCACTAAAATCCATCTGAGTAGTACAGCATACAGAGAATCCTGTTGTCTAGCAACCAAGTGCACCAAGAATAATTCCTGCTTATAATCCAAGATGTATAAATTTCTTTATGCCACTGCATATCACACACACATACACAGAAGCACATACCTTTTGCCCCTCTGAGCACAAATCCAAATCCTTCATTGTCTTTTTTCTGCAGGACCACTGCCTTTTCTTCTATTATGCAGTCACTGTAGAGAGAATTCCGAGGATAGCGACCATTATTACATCCCTTCATCACCACTGTAGTAGCTGCTCCTCCAGTGTGCAGGTTCATCATCATCACAGCCCGTTAATCAAATAATATTGCAGTAACCAAGCATGGGAAAAAACAGAACAAATAGCAGCGAGGGGAAGACAAAGATTGAGCTTGATGATAAAAGAGAACATGACAAAGCAACTTAAAAGGAATAAAAAAGGCAGAGAGGGAAAATAAAGAAGAAGAAATCATGCATGGTGGTTTGTGTTCTATATGAATGACTGGATGAACATGTGATCATGTAATCTGTGGGCTAGCTAGGACTCTAAAAGGAAAAAAAGTAAGTGAACTGAACGACAGTATCATTAATAAACTCCTCAATCGTGGATGTACCAGATGCATCTTCTAGTGAAGCCAAAATGAAACCAACCAGAAGAAAAATGAGGCAGCATTTTAAATTTAAAGATAATAAATTATGATTTTCTATTAGCTAACTAAAAGGCACAAATATATTCTGAAAGCTATGCCTTGCATCAAAAGCCCTTTTTCAATCCTATTGAATGTTGCATGCTGCAAGAATCCCACATGATCATCTGACAGCCTACAATGCTAACAACGTGCAGCTGCCTTGGCGTCATCAGGCACAAATTTCCACAGCATCAAGAATCTGCATAATCGAAATAGTAACAAGGCATGCACAAGCAGGAAAAACACATTTCTAAGGAATATTTCCTGTCCTCTGATAAACAATTAATATCATAAAACAAGGAGATGGTGTAAAGGACTATTTATGTAAGCAGCGTTCCCTTAAAGAGAAAGTAGCCTTAGGAATCTTGCTGTCATTGGCTGAGATAAAAGCAGATGGTAGATGAAGAAAATGCATAAAATACACATTAAAACGGGACCTTTCAGATACAGCAAATGATCTGTAAAAGCCCTACATTGTTTAGTACCTTTCATTAAACTAGGTTACTAAAAACAATCTCCAAGCAAAAAAGGCAGGAAAAAAAAATTTGAAAGCTCTTTTAGGTATAAAATCATTGCACAGCACAAGTTGCATGCCATTTTTAGCAATAAAGGCAGTGTCAGGGCTTAAGTGCATAAATTGCTGCTCTAAAATACCAACAGGACTATTTCAGGTACAAAGAAGTATGAGCAAGTTTTCTTTTAATTTTTTACCACCCAACTCCTGCTACCACTGGTCTCATACAGAATCCAGTGTCTAAAGCAGATCATGAAAGAAGAGCCCAGAGCTGCTTCAGAGCCATTAATAACCCCATAGGGGAGGAGGAAACTAGATAACGAAAAATTGGTGTGACCTTTTTATTTACTGCTCTGAACAAAGAGAAGGATGATGATATCAAGACACCAATGGACAGCCTCCAAACTCCAGATTTTTCATGTGTCACAGACTTGCTTTGCTGACTTTCCAACTCCGAGGGATGAAACCTCACATTACTGCTAAGGCAGTGATGTAAGTATGCCTTCCAAATCACAGAACAGTTAACACCACATAAGAATTAAAACTACCATCTCCCGTGAGCAAGAGATGATCTCCATAAGTACCACCAGCTCTTTCACACTGTCTCTCAATTTACTATTATTTACTGTATCATTCAGACATTATCTTTTCTAACAATTAACACTCCTGCTATGGAAAGGATATAACAAGAAAATGCCTGTTTATTGAGGAAGCCAAACACACTCCTGTTCAGGGATATCAGGGTGGGATGGAACATGCAACTCTCAAAGCCCATAGTGGAGCACCAGAGCTCTTCATCACCATCCTGATGTTATAAAAGCTCACAGATCCTGCTGCTGTATTGGCTTATTTCCTTCATTCCACCACTCCCATTTTCCAGGTGGGGCTCTGTCCTCATCCACTGAAGAGCCAAGCCTTTTTCTCAATAAAACCATTTCCTTCAAGTTTCCTTGTAACCAGCCAATGGCTTAACAGAGGCTGGAAGGCAGGTGAGAACCTGATCACAGCAAGGCTTTGGTTCAAAGAACACCTCTCCCCTACCCAAGTCCCACTCTCCTCCCAGTTCATTAGGATACAGAATTTGAAGTTTATCAGTGCAGTGCCTCTGCAAACCTTGCTCTGATTCTTTCATCTCTGTTGACAAAGCCAAACAAAACCATAATATCATTCCTTAAAAAGCTGAAGGTTGAAGTTAGAAAAACAGTGCTCAGAAAACTCGGGATCAGTTTCCCTGATCAACATAAGGCATCTACAACTAAAAAAATAGGCACCTTAAGGTCCTTCCACACTTGGCAAATGAAATAAATGGGTATGTTCAAGTAATATTCAGATTAAAGTATAAAAAATACATAGGATTTTCTTTTCATGAACAGCACAGTTATTGCATAAACTACCCAGTTTTATACTTCAATTTTGATATATAAAGTGAGAATACTAAACTGCCAACATTTTACAAAGTTTTGAGTTTTACATCCAATGGGGAGGGAAGAGGGAAGGGAAGAAGCAGCACAATGGGATTCTTGGTAAGAAAACACACAAACTGATCTCTATTATTTGACAAATATACCTTACTAATATAGGGTATCAGTCACGTTCTATGTAATGAAAACAACATCACAACCTGTAAAGTAAAAACATAGGTCTGAAAAAACGAGATGTGTAGGCATTTTTCCTTATTTATGTACTAGGAGAAGTGGACCTGCAATAATCTCATGGCATGAGCAGTTAAAACTTGTTAAAGCAAAAAAAGAAAGCAAACTGATTCTCCACACACCCTCAGTGCTGCAGAGTGAAGAACCAGCAGCAGAAAAAGGGATGGAAAACCAACAAGCACATAAAAGTAACTGAGCTTGCAACCTCCACACCCCTTCTCCCAGCAAACTCACTCTGAATTCCCAAGGGGAGGGGGCAGAAGATGGGGAAAGTTTAACCCCTGGCTGTTTGCAATGTGCTTTTTGTTTTCTTTGCCATGAGGGTTTTATTGTCTCAGAGTCAGGGTGGATCCCTCCACTCGAGGTCTGCTCACAGTCTACCTTGTCTTGGCAGGCAAAGTGGTGCCAAATGTGAAAAGTAGGTCAAAATTTCTCACCATGAGCCTTCTTGGCAGCAGTTCTTTGATCAGGAAGGTGTTGTAAATACTTAGCAGCAGAATTCAAACAAGGTAGAGCTACCAGTGACACATGAAGGTGATATTACATTACTAGCCTGTTCAGAGGGCTGAGCTCAAGCAAGAAGGGGCATCTCTTCCCAGATGCTTTCAGGGCTCTGCACAGCTCTACATGGGGCTAAACAGTCCCTGCTGCCTGGGATATGCCAAATTTGAACAGGTAAAATCCTTAAGGTCCATTTCTGTCCCATCTCAAACCAAAATTAAACAGCCTCCATTTCAGAGACAAGTTCTCAGAATATTACCAGTTCCACATTATGGAAATAAAATGAGTAATTTTAAAATCAATAGCTCATTACTTAAATAGGGCATGCACTACTTTGACTTGGGGCTGTGTAAGACCAAGATTCACTGCATACAAAGTTAAATGCAAAAGATATCCTACCGAGTGCAGAATATTTCTGCATGAAGCATAATCATAAAAGCGTCAGGCCAGAAAAACCCAGTCAATCTAAACCTTTGCTTCATTCAAACAGTCCAGTAAATACTAGAAAATGTACTTGTTCATCAGTTCACGTAGCTTCCTTACCAATTTAAGAATTGTGCAGAGCTGTTACTATTTCCATAATTTTACACTCTTGCCAATGGAGAAAGGGAAATACAGAGATTTACCCATGGTCAGATATGTGAGTTTTGAACTCAGCACTGTTACATTCAACATAACAACCATCATTTGTGCAGCCTTTTCAAAACAGCAAGGATTTCTGCTGAGAGCCCATTAGAATAATATTTGAGGAAGGAAGTAGAAATGTCAAGTCCTTCACAAAGATCTGCATGAAGAAAATAAAAATTGAAGCACAGGTTCCTGACGGAGGCAAACCCATGAAAAAGCTTCCCTTTTCTCATCTACAATAACTACACCCTCTCCTAAAGCATGACTTATTGCACAAGTTAAAATACTAAATTACAGATATGGAAACTACCAGGACCACAGGATGTGTTTAAGCAAGTTTGTATCAAGTATATCATTGCTGATTTCAATCTGAAAAACAGCACGTAGAGTACACTCCACTGAAAATTATCATCATTATCTGGAAACAAAAGTGCTATATGGGATATCGTCAATCTCTCCCTAAGGCAGAGAAAAAAATGAATTTAAATAGGGATTATTTTCCCAATTCTCAGCAATCATGCATGCCCTAGAAATATAATCTAAGTGGAACCTTTTCAGCTTCAACTAACCGTACCTTAGCCTTCCAAGGCAGAAGTTCTTTGACAGTTCACAAAAGAAAGTCAAATAATCAGAGTTAGAACTGAGTGAACAGCATCCTCAGCCCAGAGGCCCTTCAGTCACAGGGCTTGCTCTGCCTCAAGTGAGAAGTTATCCTTTCCAAGATGATTTCTTTCAGTTGGCTCAGTAAATCTAAATCTCTTCATTAGCTCATTTCCATGCCCTCTCCTCAGCACTCTTACAATTGCAATCTTTTTGAAAGATCTGCTGAATTTGCAGCTACATCTTAGAACAATCAAATACTCTGCCAGGTGTGATAAAACAATATCTAAATCATTGCACAAATTTATATGCAGTGTCTGAATGCAGTCACACTAATTTCTTTTCAGGCTAAGACAGCCACTTTATGGTGGTTATGTTAAACCTAGAAAAGGGAATTTGGGAAATCCTTTCACAATGAAGAGCTCTTTTCTGCATGTTCTGACAGTCAATGCATGTTAAAGGCACATCAAAAATATTCTCTCCAAGTATTTCCCTTTTTTTGCAAGTTACATGACCTGGCACCATATAAAATGGAAATTATGTCTACAGCAAATCTCACTGTAAGATATAACAAACTTCCAGTGGGAAAACATTTGCTGTTATTGCCAGAAGGGGTCAACCTTACTACTTACAGTTATCTACTCTAATGGCTTCAGGAAAATTGGCTAATCCCAGTAATGAAGGCCTCCAAGATTGATGAAGATTCTGTCTGTGACTGCCCAAGCTTCCCAGGCATTGATCATCCATCTGTGGGCCTCACAGAAGAGTCTCCACAGCCCTGGGGTAACAGGCACTGCAGCAATCAGTTGTTCACGAGGTTTTAGCTCCACCAGTGACTGTGGTTCTGTGCACAGCAATATGAAAATACACAGTCTGTCCCTGCCCAACCCACTGAGAACCCAAACACAAACACTGAGATGTGGCCAACCACATATTCACATTCACAGTAACCTGTAATGTGTTCACACAATCAGAGGATCACAGAGTGGTTTGGGTTGGATGGGAACTTAAAGATCATTTCATT